GCCAGCGGCTGGACCAGGCTGTGATGGTGGGCAGGGCTGGGGGGCCGGGGGGCACGGGGCCCGGCGCTGCCCGCAGTGCCACAGCCGCCCCGCTGCCCCGGGCAGGCTGTCAAGGAGCTGCAGACCTCGACACGTGAGGCCATCGTGCTGCTCAAAGCCATGATCGAGGAGGTGCGGAACAGCGCCAGCGAGGAGGAGGCAGCCATCAACTCCCTCTTCGGGCGCATGCAGGTGCGGGATGCACGCCCAGGCGTTATACCCTGGGTGCAGGGCAGAGCTTGGGTGGCGGGGGGGGCTGGGGTGGCCGTGGGACACAGGGTGGCCATGCTGTCTGCAGGAGCAGCTCTCTGAGAGAAAGAAGGCACTCCTGAAAGCCGTGCAGAGGTGAGGGGCCGCAGGCTGAGCCCACTCCTAGGGTTGTTCTCTCTTCCTGGAGCATGTTGAGGTGCCCTCGGGCCAGAGTGCTCCCCTGAGCCCCAGAAGGGCTGTGCCTTGCCTTGCTCTGCCACAGCCAGCATGAGGAGAAGGAAAAGGCATTCAAGGAGCAGCTCGCCCACCTTGCCTCCCTGCTGCCCACCCTGCAGGTAGGGCCCTGAGCAGGGGCTGGGCTGGCATGGCCACCCAGCCACCAGTGTGACACCCCCCTGCACACAGGTCCATCTGGTGACCTGCTCAGCTTTCCTAAGCTCCGCCAACAAAGCAGAGTTCCTGGACCTGGGATATGTGAGTGGTGTCAGTGCCTTGGGGCAGCTGGAGCATCCCCCTGTGGGGTGTCCAGCAGGCCTGGGCGGGGTCCCAGGCACCCCTCACTACACCCCCATGCTGCCTTTCAGCAACTGATGGAGAGGCTGCAGAGGATCGTCAAGCTGCCTCACCGCCTGCGGCCAGCCCAGACCAGCAAGGTAGACCCCACCACCCACCCCAGGCCGAGCCCCTCAGCCTGCAGCCCCCACTGCTAGCGCTTCCCCAGCCCAGCCACACTCACCCCATCTCGCCCGCAGATCAACACCGAGTACCGGGCCGAGTTTGCCCGCTGCCTGGAGCCCCTGCTGATGCTCAGCCCCCGCCGCTCCGTGGTGGGCAGCGCTGCCGGCGTCGGTCCCAGCCTGGCTGGAGCCAACATGTGAGATGCTGGGATGGCAGCTGGGGCGCACCGTGCCACCCGTGCCACTGTGCCCCCCTCTGCATCCCACCGTGCCAAGCTTACTGCCCTTGAGCCTCTCACCTCGGCAGTAGCACAGGGACAGCACAGAGCACAGCTGTGCTGATGAACAACAGGCGCGGGGGCTTTAAGTGACACTTCTGGGAAGCGGGGCTGGCAGCAGGGTGCCCGGGCGAGCTGCACCCCGCTGCT